GGCTATCAGCTCGTGTATATCTGAGAGAAACTGCACAGAAGTGCCCTTCGCGAATTCGGCACCTTTTCGAATATGGCTTGATCTACTGATGTGATTAACACAAAAAACAATTGGAAAAAAGGAGCACTTAGTAGTGATTGCTATTTTCCTATTATACAAAAACCATAGTAATGGTTTCAAGAAAATGCAGGATCGTGAGTCGGATAATAGCATATAAAATGAGGAAAATTATTAATTATTTAATATTACTTAAAATAATTAGAAAGGAAAATTCTTTCGCATTACACTGAGGAGAATTTAATTCTTTTTTCTATAGATTTTGCTGTGTTTTGGTAGAGAGCAGCTGGCATCCTAGTTTATTCATATGGTTACTTCTGTACGCGTAAGTAAATAACACTCTAATTTCTGTAGTAGTATGAATACTAGTACGTAGTCAAAAATTTAGGAGCAGAAAGAATCAGTCCCCAATGTTTTTTTCTAACATGAGATGAGGTGTAAGAATACAAAAACACGCACAGATGCAGTAAATAATTCAAAAACTTCTAGTGAGGAGACTGAAGTATTTAGTAAGTAACTGAATTTCTTCCGATAGCTACACTACTGTATAATATAATCTAATAGTGAAAAGTTTGAAAGACTTCTTATCCTAGTTTGTTTGTCAAACTTATTTCAGTTTGTTTTTTAAGATTAAAGCAAATAAGCTTTCATATCTATTCAAACATCAGAAAACTGGAAAAAAGATTTCTCCTTATCAATTCAAAGTCTATTTCTATTTTTGTGTAAATATGGCGAAAAATAGCCGTTGCTAGTTAATTTGATTACAAATAAACTATATCAAAGAGAAAAAAAGAAAGGAATATGAAGAAATTTGTTCGATGCAAATAAATATAGTCATGTCTATTAATTAATATAGATAACGCTTGGTTCCCTCAGTATACACGTCCCAATAATAATAATAAGATGAGTGAAGAGGATAGATTTTTGACAGTAGTACGGAAATCAAAAAATTATAACTGTCTTGCAGTGTTCAATTTTTCTATCTATAAGATTCTTGTAACATTATTTCTTTTTTTCGAAGAGAGCAACAAATATCCGCATAGTTTACCGAGAAAACTATTTTTGCTGAGAAAAAGTAAGTACGTTGTTGTACTTAGATCTCTTGACTTGATTTGATTATGATAGGTCAAATATATAGAGAAGAAATCAGAATGTATTCCTCGTCGAGAATCACTTAACTTACATGTCTTTATAAAGTTTAACTGTGGGAAAAAGGGCTTATTTTGGATCAATCATATGAGTTATTTAACTTTTTGACACATAATGATCAGACTCTGTTTCGTATTAAAATTCTGAAGAGAAAAAGATTGAACAGAAGAAGAAAAATTCAAAAATAAGTGATTTAACCGTGATGAATATTTCAGTTAGAAGATTATTTCCGGTTTAAGGCTCCACATTTTCCAGATATGTTCTTATTTTATTATTTTCAAGCTTTCTGTAGATATCTATTTGCTTGTATATGCACGAAAGGCTTTTCAAATCTTTTATTTTTTGCTATAAATCCTCTTTTTTGAGTAAATAACAATTTTTTTTTGAGAAAAACAGTTCATAAGATCATTTTAATTGAGAACGTCGATGAAAGGCTTTTTTTCTACAAAATTCTTTAAAAGTTTTTCTATAGGATAAGTTCATGCTTCAGGAAAACATAAGACCGTGAGGGTACGAATTTCAAGATTTCGCTGTTTTCTTCTTGAGAGAAGGTATTGAGACGTTCTTGATTCACGATCCTGCATTTTCTTGAAACATAAACGTTCACTAAGGCTTTTTACAGAAGGAAAATAGCCCTCAACACAAAGTGCTCCTTTTTCCACTTGTTTTTAGTGTCAAATTACATCCGACTTTCGAAGTTACTCTAAGTATACAATATCTATCAACCGAGAGTTCTTGAACAGAGTGAAATTTATAAGTCTTTTAAGGCTTGTGAGAAATCTACGAAAATTCTTTTGTCTAAGCGAATAGGTACTGAATTACGATACGAAGAGACCACTTTCCATTTGTGGCGTTCTTTTCTCTGTAAGTAGAAATAAAAATTAAATGTTCTTGTTGTTATTGTGGTGAGAAAGTTCTTTAGAAGGGTTGACGCAAAAGCATATGGATGGGAAACTTATACTGCGCTTGTATTTTAGATTTTCTTTTCTTTAATTTAGGATATGTCACAAACACTCTCGAATATATTTTCAACACCAAAAACTATCATGTCATTAAGCGTTATTCTTGTTGTTGTCATACAAATGTTTACTTTAATTCAAACACAACCGACGAATGATGATGGTACGCGTAATTCATTGTATGAAATGTATAAGATAATGCGAACAGATCCTCGGTTCCAATCACTATCCAATGAACAAATTGTAGTACTTTTGCACCAAAATATTGCAAACAAAAATTGGCTCGATAGTATTCCGGAACAATTGAAAAAAAGTCGAGATAGAAATCAAAGAAAAATGAACTACAACAACGACGACATCAACAATCAGAAGATTTGATACAGTAATTATAATAAACCCTCTTTCGTCTAATCCTTCCCAGATCAACTCAATCATTCTTGATCGTGTCATTCAAACTCGTTGCAAAATATGTCTTCAAAAACTTTACTAGAGACATTTTAGTTCATTGGTTGTATTTCTAACTTGTCTTTAATTAATTACAAAGCACTCCAGATAATAAAAGATCGCATAATACAGATATTGTCATTAAAGCCAGGTTCTGAGCAGCATATCTACTAGGCAGATTTTATCACCGCATTTCTCAGAGCATGCAATCTGAAACAACATATACTTAGAAAAATCACTGCTCAAGCATATCTACGATGCAGACAATATATCTCCGCATTTCTCATACACAATCTCTCGTTCGAATAACACTCAGTCTAAGCCATTTTAGCGTGTTTTTGCGTTTCTAAGAGCATGTGGAAACTAGTAAAGTGCTGCATGAAATATATAGTTGTGATTGGGTTCTGTTTCTGAAAGATATAATATTATTCCCTTTTGTGATAGTAAAATACAGTTACTGATGAGTGAAAAACTATCTGCAAAGACGTATGCGATTGATTTGCCTCTTTGATTTGATAACTAGGGTTAAATACCGACAATTTTGTACTTTCCATGGAAAAGTTCACTGTCTCACGAAAAAACATTCTGAAAGTTTTTCATCAGATCTACTCTAAAAGTTATCTCATACTTCTCATAACTAAAAAACTTCATTCTTAATGCTTCATTTTTTCGCTAGTCACCATATATCAACTTGATGAAGTCATTATTAACAATCACGATCTCTACAGACGCTGTGATAAGATAAACATATATAAGGTATCTTATATATTTTACTACTATATAAGGAAACAATGTTATATCTTTCAGAAACAGAACCCAATCTAGGGGTGTAACCGGTATCAAAAATGCGGTACCGGTACCGGTCACCGGTATACGAACTTCGTACCGGCTTGTCTTGATCATATTTTACCTGAATACCAATAACTTTTCTCTTGTTTTTCTTTACTATGAACTTTATTTTATGTTATCATAGGGATCCATTAATCTTTTCACTTTGAGTATGTATAGCTGATTTTTCATACGCTTTTTTTAACGAAAACAGCAATCCAATTCAATCTTTTAAATTAAGAAGTTTATATAAGCCAGCAAGGTTTAAGTAATTGAAATGAAATTTTTGTGGAAGAAATATGTCACAGATGAACTGAATTTACACGATGTTTTTTGAAAAAAACCGTATCATACTGCAAAATACCAGCAATACCGGCCGACTGATTATGCTTCATACTGATGCCGGTATACCGGTCGGCATTATATTCGTATCGATAGCGGTTGCACCTCTGACCTAATCACAACTGTATATTTCATGCAGCACTTTACTAGTTTCCACATGCTCTTAGAAACGCAAAAACACGCTAAAATGGCTTAGACTGAGTGTTATTCGAACGAGAGATTGTGTATGAGAAATGCGGAGATATATTGTCTGCATCGTAGATATGCTTGAGCAGTGATTTTTCTAAGTATATGTTGTTTCAGATTGCATGCTCTGATGTCATGGTCCTACTGAGATGAAGATACTGGATACTAAAACCTCTGAATATTTGTGTGAGCTCATTCTAATATGCAGTAGAATTTCGCTTGTCGGTCAAATGGAAACATCAGTCTTAATTAGAATGATCAGTACTCCTAATTATAATAACCCAGTCATTTCAAAAAACTTCATTCTAAAAGCTTCACGTTTGCGCTTTAATGAGGAACACTGCCTTTGCAGTTGGACGACATATGTATTTATCAATCAGGAAAACGTTGTGTCGAACAGCATGTGTTAGAGAACAAAAAAATTGACCTTTAATATAACTATTTAGCCATATAAAGAAAATACATTTGAAGCAAATTGTATTCGTGAAACAAACGATCTTATGATACGTATCTCACTTCGGTAATAAGCCTCTAAGCAAATAAGCAAATTACTGCATTATAAATTAACTGTATCTTACATCATAAAAGTATTATTTTATGCTATTTTCTTCTACTAGATCAACAAAGTTCTTTCTTTACTAACTAAAGTGAGACGGATGGCGATGCTACTATTATGACTACCTGCAAAATCATTCGTTTTGTCATTCTTTTTATTAGCCTAATTTGTTCGTAAATAGTTATGTATCCATTGATTTCAATCTTTTTTCGATAGTCAGCATATATCAACTTGATGAAGTCATTATTAACAATCATGATCTGTACAGACGTTTTGATAACATAAACATTCATTTTCGATCGATTATTTCTGCTTGTTCGCTATTCACAACTCATGCTAGATTAATATTACCATATCTGATGCGAAGAGTTGTATAAAATGCTCTTTATTACGTCTAAAATTGTCATTTATCTATATCGAAAATACTGTGACACTCGATAATAATCATATGTACAGAATGGTAATGGAGATATGAAAATTCAAACAGTTTGAGTAGCATTACTATTGTCTATACTTGTTGTTGGCGGTTGTTGAATGTCTGCATGATCTCTATTTGGTAATAGGCAAGTGTTTGGTTCATAATTTGGTCGCTCTCTAGCTATTGTCTCAGCGTATGTTGTGTTCATATAACCTATACCTTCAATAATTAGTTTCCATCCAATAACAAATAAAAATAATGCCATCATTACTTGAATTAAATCATCAAAATACGCGTGCTTACTTAAAAACGTTACTCTGTCCCAGACAACAAGAGGAATGGCCATCGTTATACCACCGATCATTCGCAAAAGACATTTTCAAATTTTACTCATACAATTTTCTTATTTTAGCCATGCTGCTGTTTGAGAATGGTGTCTCAATTATACTATTAAGAGCATCAGCCATCAATGATTTAGAATTCAATTTCTTCGATAAGAATATTTTAATGACCGATAAAAACGCAAAAATCACAATGTGAGTCACCGAGTAGGCTAGTACCAACCAATCTCCACTTGGTTCTTGAGGCACGATCATACTTTGAATTGCCCGACTTTCAATAGCCAAAAATGAACCAATAAATAGAGCACCAATTACACAACAGACGAGATAATCTCGACGTTTTAAATCGTCTCGTGTTTGTGCTAAAATGTATACATTGAATTTAGTTTCAAGTTGAGAAAAAAAATCTTACCTCTTAGATGCCAGGCAACAAAACAAATGCAAATAGCATCCATCAACGTATCAATTGAATAGGATAAACCTACGGACGACTGATCCAACATTGAATTGACAAAGGCTGTCATGCCAAGAAATATATCAATAAAAATTGTAAAAAGGCATATTTTATAAGCTATTTGTTGATATCGGCTGAACATCGGCAATTTTTCATCATCGCCATCGTTGTTGGTTGTATCAATAGTAGGTCTACTGACTTTTTTCTTCTTACCACAAACCATTTATCGAGCTCTTGAAACTAAACACTTGTCTTTGAATGTTGCAAACTAAGTAACTGTAACTATGATTAAAAATGAAAATTAATTTCTGTATCATACATCCGAATAAATAGCAGTAACCGAGATGGAAAATAAACCGGTTGATATTTCACTCATGGGCATTTGATGATTATGTTTTCTGCATATGAGCATAGTGTGCGATCAGTCAACCAAAACAAATGTATCATTAAGCGCTTTTGCTATTTCACACGTCATTAATATAGATTTTATCATCAGTGTATGTCACTATTGGATATTCAAAAAGAGTCCATGATTAGGACGCTGACAAAATCAATTGAAAATATTTTTTTCAGGTTAAATCCACTGTAGGGTAGAGAAATTTAGCACACATCTAATGAAACATATTATCAAATTTATGATATCATTATGCTGTATGCATGTCTAGTATTCATCAAAACATGATGCTATAGTGTTATGATAATAGTAATCAATAAGAAATGTGCGTTGACTTGATTCAAAACTCGAAGTTTTAAATTGAAACACTGAGAAAAAAATGTTATTATTCATAAACGAAACACGAACTTAACACTAGAGTGATGAAACGTTCTACATTTGATTAACATTTTATCTAAAGTAGTTATTCTTATTTGTCCTCGTCTATAGTGCCATATTGGAATGAGATGAAACCAAATGGTATGATTGTTTAATTTTTCAATACCAATTTATCTATTTTATATTGGGAATTTATCATTTCTGGTAATTTGTTTAATATACATTTTATTTGAAGACATCGTTGCCGTTTCTAATCCATCGCAACAAAAAGCGACTGTTCGTCGTCTCGTGTTTGATAGACGAAAAGAAATTATAGTGAGAAAAGTGTTTTGAATACTAACAAATTTGTGAAAAAATTTAGTATTAGATAACAGATATGCTTTTATGAATTTTTTAAAGAATCTCATTTTTTATTAGAATTAACATATTCTATCCGCTTTTTTTGCCATATTATCATTATCTTATATTTTTATCTGACTATGTCCTAAATATATATTCGCTGATGTTCTATTTTAGATAAAAATAAAACACTATTCTACTGGGAAGTTTTCTTTGTCGTTAGTTCAAGTGTTTTTTTGGTTAATAGGCGAGCAATGTTACAGATCGGTTCTTTCTTTTTCTATGGTATTTTAAACAGACAGTGTACAGTCTCGTAGCGATATATATATAAAAACAGGCGCACATGGAAGAAGAAAAGTAGAGAAGAAAAAAAATAACTGGAAAGTAGTAGATCGCAAAGAAAAGAATGAAAAGTGGGATAATGATTCTCTTCTCTTCTTCTTCCGCTCATTCATTTACTTCTTATACACACTCGTGTAATATTAATAAAAAAAAAGAGAAATCGAACAACGAGAAACAAGCCTAACGAGAAATATGGAATAGAGAAACGTTTATTTTTTCAATACTTTCAAATGTCTCTTCGAAAATATGTACTCGAAAGAACCACACATACACACACACGCACACACACACAAAGAGAGAAAGAGGGTATACTTATATTCTGTAGCAACACAATAGTCATCTTTGACTCTTCATTATCGACAGAAAACAAAATAGAAAAGGTAAGATTTTATTTGTTACCACCAATCAATTAAAGTAAACATATGTGTTAATTTACTTAAAAAGAGTGTTCATTTTTCATAGTTAGATTTTAAAGAGTCTGTTTATCTTACCATTTTTCATCATCTCATAATTCACATTATTGTCAATTTTATGTCACTTTCAAAATTAAATTTCTTTTTATAATATTCGATTAACAAAGAAAAGAAGGCAATCATAGGCTAACAATTAACATTCTTTGTTCTCTAGTGAGACATAAATATGCTTAATGAGTTCGTATTTTCATTTCATAAATTTAAAGTACTAAATTTTGCCTTTTATGATAATACCTAAGAGAATGATTCTCATCTAAATGTGTAATTTTTCTTGTTATTGACTGTTAATGATACAATCGTTTCAATTATACGCTTTTTCAATATACTCCTAAAATGAGAAGAAACTAGTAAATAACAAATATTTTCAATTAAAAAATAAAGAAAAGGCAGAAATATCTATTTTTCTCTATTAGAGATAATTGTGAAAACTCTCTTTGATAGGTTTAATAGCAAGTACTGCTGCATCATCATGGAAAAAGAAGAAAAAAGAAAGACGAAAAAGTGTTCATCCGTTTACTTATTTTACAAATTGATTGATTATAAGAGAGAAAATTGAAAAATATTATCCTGTTAATATTTTGAAGATAAAATTTTATTAATTTTTTAAAAAATAAGAAATATTCAAGATATTATATGGAATAATGATATTGTTTTTATGATACCAAAAGAGCGATTATTGATCTAACCTTGAAAATTTGGCACATTTTTTGACATATGCTTGTCATTAACCACTACAGTTGTTTATTTGTGTTTATGTTAAAGAAATGTCTACACTATAGCGGTTGTAAATTAACTGTTGTTGTTGTTACTGTTACCGAGAAGAAAAATGTGTGATGAGTGATAAAACTAGCGAACTAGACTAAAATGTTTGCTAAAAGTTATATACTGTATTTCTATAATATAAATTATTTGTATCCATTTACTGCTATTTTTGATAGAAAAAATTTGCCATTTAGTTGGTGTCAAATTAATCTGGATATAGTCTTCTAACTAATCTTTGTTTTTATTCGAATAAATATAAATTGGCCATGAAAAACCTTGGAATAATTAATCTTTTATTGTTTTATCCTGATTAATATTAGCTAAAAATTATTTTAAATGCAATAATCTAGCATGCAATGTATATATATATATACATTGTAACAGATTAATGAATATGCGCACAAAACTTTTGTGATCAGTAAGTTTTCTTTATTAAAGTAACTTAATTTTTATGTATTGCTGAAATATAACAACCATTAGGATCTCAATTTAACAGTTGTAAATTATTGTTGTATAGTGAAATAAGAATATAAAATGAGTTGAAAAAATAATTTTTGTTTATTTAACAGGCATAGAAATGAACAATTTGTCTATTGCTCAAAGAGTTCACCAGTTTATATTTATTATAGAGAAAAAATTGTTTATATCATACGCATTTGTACTGTCTGTTTACAAATTTATGCTCGAGACATAAATCTGTACAATTACATGCGACGATTTATCTTTAAAGATGATTAGTTGAGAATACAATTAATCGATGTATGATGCACGAATAATGTGTTTTTGTATAAGAGAAATATAATGGCTTGCTTCTAGCACTGGATCTTTAAAATCTGTTAATAGTTAATCATATCTGCTTTTTTATCAGATTGTTCTATTGGAATAGAACGATATTAATTCCATTCATTCACTAATAATTTACACTAGTCAAATTCCTTGAACAGACAGATGCCTTCGTTCAAGATCAAAGTCCTTTATTCTCTGCGATACTCAAACAGTAGAAGAATATAATATGTAAATTAACATTTCTACTTGGTAACTTTAGTCTTAAGGACTATAAAAATATTAATTTTTTTTTCATGTTTTTTTCAGATGCATCTACTTTAGTCAGTATTGATCGATGTTTGATAGGAATTCAGCTCAGTCGTCCTTGGATATACTGTATGAGGATCGTGTAACATTAAATGATGGACGGTCTAATCCAGAGACCGTATTATTACAATTAACATCCGAAACACTTGTAATTCGTCGTGATAAACTAAAAAATGATAGAAATTCAGTTGATTTTTCATTAGAACAACAGTCCAATTCATTAGATAATAGATTGCAAAAATCAACAAATGATGAAGAAATGATTAGTGATGAACGTTTAATTAAATTACATCGTCAACCAAATGAAACGTTGGGATTTTCAATCAAAGGTGGTATCGATACCGGTATGTGTTTAGAAAGTATTAAAATATTCTTTATACTAGAAAATATTTCTTATTCAGGTCTTCCGATACTAATATCTCGTATAACAAAACATCAACTTGTTAATATGATAAAAGTGGGTGATGCCATTTTGAATATAAATGGTATAGATCTTTCATTAATGTCTCATGATGAAGCCCTTCATTGTTTACGTACATCCGGTAATGAAGTTCTTCTCAATGTGAAATATATGAAATTGATGGCACCATTTTTATCTCATCAAATTTCAACTAATAACGACATGAAACATCATCAATTTTCTTGTATTAGTTCCAAACAGTACAATCAAGGTCAACCAAACAATGATGAACAAGAATTATTACATCAACTATTGCATTGTGAACATAGTAATGATGTTGATAAAACAAAAATAGAAAATTATAATCATGAAGATGATAATCCAGTTGATTTAATTTCAAAGTTGAATATATCTGACTCGAATACTAATTTTAATACATCTTTAATACGAAAATCCAAGAAACAATCACGAAGAAAGAGAATGAAGAATTATTTACCTGTTCATATACCACCAACAAATTCGTTAACATCAAGTCAAACTCGTTCAACATCTTCTTCATGTTCTTCAACTGTTATCTCTGAATTTCCATTGTTTTATGCTTCCATTACTCAATACATTTGTGGTACAGATAAATTACGTTCAAACTCATTTCAATTATCTACACTCGATGGTTCACAATTGGGTATTATTATTTGTGATACAATTTTAAAACAGCAAACATGGATTAAACAAATTAATATTGTAATTAAAAATTTAATTCGATTAACTGTTGATGAATTAAATCAAACATTTTTACCATCAGATCAAATACATTATGAAACATGGCTTTATGAACGTTTTACAATTCGAAATAATTTACCAGAATGGAAAACAAAATTTTTTGCATTAAAAGGAAATGACGTTTATTTATTTGATCGACCACCCTTGACATCTTATGATTTTATTTGTTGTAATAAAATATATTGTATTTATGAAACATTATTTCAAATTGTTAAAACTGACTATTTACTTGATGATCGACCCTATTGTTTTACATTAGAAAATAATGATGAATATAAACATTATTTTTGTTTAGAAACAAAACAAGAATTAATAGAATTTGAAACAAATTGGCAACGATCAACCTATATGGCAGTATACAATGTAAAAATGAAATCATTCGGATGTACGTATATGGGGAAAATATGTCGTCTCATTATCGATATTCATCAAGGATTTAGTCTAATTAATAATGAAACAAATTTATTATTATGGAATTATAAATTTTCACAATTAAAATCGAGTACGGATAATGCACGAACAAAACTTTATTTTGATTTTCAATCAGATAATGAAAAATTGATAAAAATTGAAATTGAATGTCAACATTTAAAAACATTAATATATGTTATCAATTCATTTTTAACAGCTAAATTAATTGCCGTAGATAATTGTGGCTGATAATGATATGATACTATTAGACGTTTTTAGATAACTGTAATAACGAGATTAATCTTTGAGTTTTTATCTATAATTGTCGCATTAACAGTTCAGACAAAAAAAAAAACGAACAATTTTATATCTGATTATATACGTATGCTATATCGAGTAGAATTATTCATTAAATTTTCTCTATTTTTCTATGAGATATTGTTATTTTTTTTGTTGATTTTTATTTTTTTAAATGTTTAAAATTCTTTTTTTTTTTTATCGAATTATCTGTGAGAATCAGTATGCAATGAATATTTATCGAATGGAAAAAGAGAATCTAGCAAAAAAACACACAAATCCATCAAATACTATTATAGTTAATAAATCAGTGAATTTTTCTTGTAGAAAGTTTCCTTGAATATTTTCCGATCAAAACACTGATGCTAGTGATTGTTTTTTTTAAATAACTTTTGACAAATGATATACATTTGGTTGCTCAGTATTTTCGATTTTAAGGCGTATGACGCATCTTTTTATGGTAAAAAAATCTTTTTTATGTCGACAGACATTATGTATTTTTGTAAGGAATTTTGTTTTTTATTTTCTTCTGTCTTTCGTCCCCTTTTTAGGCAAAATGTGCACCACGTGATCTAGAGAACTATGAAAGCTAGAAAAGTTCTGGAAAAGGTAGGATATTCTTCCGACATTGGAAATTGATCAATGCACATTTTTCTTTCAAATAACGATCCAGATTCGACGCCATAAGCTACACAAGTGAAAGAAAAATGTATTTTGGACTTAGATAATTATTGTTATTTTTGTCCGGCGCCATTTAGTCAGAGAACGAAAAATAATTTCTTTGTTTTTCAATTTCCTTCATTGTTGTTTTATATCATAAGCAGTTCAAATAGAGTCCTGTTACCATGACTTTTTCGTTACCATTTACCATACCATTACCAACGATAGAAAGTTTTTTTTATCATTACCATTACCATTACGGTAAGGTAATGGAATTTTTTTGTTACCGCAGGACTCTAAGTTCAGAGAGTAAATCAAAGCAAAAATGCAATGCTCACAGCCTCCTGATAGGATCTGCTTGGAGCAGTAGGTTCAGTCAGAGGCGGAGTCTGTCGACATCGCAACTTGTGCGAAGCGTAATTCCAGTCTAGTTTATAAAAGCGTTTTTAAGAAGATCAGCGTTTATGGTTTAAAGATTTGTAAGAGAAATATATTCAGTTTCGCCGACCGAAATCCGTCAGTCCTTGTCTGTGATTTTTAAGTGTATTAAATCGATCTTCAGTTCAGTTCAGTTCAGTTCAGTTTATTCTGGCATAGCCATGGATACACGAAAAAAAACATTGCTAGTGCAAAAGTTTGTAACAAAATAAAAACTGCGTTTGATTAAGAATCTAGGCAGATAACTTT